ACAAAGGGGAAGACGTATCTACAAGAACACAAAAAAGAATCACAGGTGCATTGAAAAGAACGTTCCCAGCCGCCAGACTGATCCTACTTCACAACACTGTGTGCTCGTTAACCCAGTCAAAAGTAGATGAGTTCCCTACTCACGTCAACTCCAACTGCATTTACCAATTCACGTGCACCTGCGGTAGCAAGTACATAGGAAGGACTGAGAGGACAGCATCTACTAGATTTTCCGAGCACATTCCTAAGAGTCTCCGTACAAAAGGAAGAAAAGTGTTAACAAGTGCAATCTCCAGACATCTAATTGACACAGGACACACAGTAGAAATCATCCAAGCCTTCAAAATAATCAATACACAAAGAAACCCACGGCTACTTCGCTTCGCAGAAGCCATTGCTATCAAGAGATTTCGACCAGACCTTTGTATACAGAAAGATAGTGTGATTAATCTTTCACTACCTTGGTAACCCTAACTCTACTTTATTTTATTTTTGTTTTGCCTTTCTGTCAGTATGCTTGTGTGTTTGTCTTGTTACGTAACATTCTATTCAATTTTGACCTTCAAGTTCCTAAATCTACTTAATTGTTTGTGTGTTTAAGTTATAAATGTTACTTCACTATTCACCCCCACCCTCTTAAACTCTCCACCACAAGATGTGTAAATTTACTTTGTTCTCTGACCCTGACCCTATAATATGCCTCTAACCAATCTGTGTTGTTTTCCAATAGAAATCTAACTCTTACCCCTCTTATCCAATTCCACTATATATAATTAGTTGTTTTTTGACACCGAATAATCTGTCTACCTACATCAATTTCTGGAATTATGTTCCTTATGCCTTCTATTTATAACTCAAAGTATTTATGAAAAAGTATGTTCCACAACTTTCTTGAAACCTATAATTTGATTTTGTTTAGGATGTATGCAGTTGATGAGAATCCACGAAATAAAACGAGCTCGTATTATCCTGCAAATATGTTCGTTCTTTCTCTCTTCAAACTAATAAAGGGAACCGGTTGCATGAAATAACTGGTATTTGTTGTTTGACGTTTTATGTATGGCATTATTTGGTTATTTTGGAGTGAACCATTCAGAATCAATCGGAATCGATTAACAAATGAGACAGTTTATTACTAAACACTGATTCAAATAGACCACCTGACCAACCAGTAATACTCAGGCTAGTAAGAACAACAGGTAGACTTAACTAATCATTCTCAATCTTGATCTTCATCATCCTTATCTTATTATTGGTAATAATGTGTTACAACGATTTGAATCATTTCATTTACCATGATTTCTCTGGAATGTTCGTTGTCGTATGCATCAGTGTGATGTAAGTGCTTCTCAAACAAATGAGACAATGTAAATGATTAGACATTCTGCCATCTCTCAAGTAATGAACACTGATTACAAATTTTTCGTACGCATATTCAAACAAGACGCTGTACATTAGTGTTTTTACTGGATTTAATGTCATTTATCTAACTTTAATCACTTCTGTCTAATATCTCAGGTATTGTTTGGAAATTTTTGTTTCATTGATATATCAAGAAGTCAGTTTTTTCATACAAAGCTTCTATTTGACAGGATTCGAAATGCATTTATTCTAAAACGGAACCTTACGCTTCCATTTTAAGTTGTATAACACAGTCTCTATTTGCATTCATTTTGACAGAGAATGAAATTCATTTTCATCCGGTGAAGTTATGTGGCGGATACATTTTTAACGTAGAATAACAGATTAGTAATGGGATGTCAAAATAAATAGTCGTATTTGTGTGACAAAAGTGCTAGGCTGAAATCGATTACAAAATATTGTAAAACGGGAGACAGTGGTGGTGATTAATGATAATAGATTTGTAGAGTGGGGGTAGGAAAATTGACAATTAATTTTTAATTTTGATTACAGCTTGATGCCACACCGTATTTTCAGTACATGTATGGAATTTTCAGCATGGATATCGGTAGCCCAAATTTTGCAGGCTGACCATAGATATCGGGTGTACGTTGGTAGAGGATCAAACCCCGGACCATGTGCATGGTCGGCGAGAGTCCTAACCACTGTGCCACCGACGCACAAGTCAGTTCAAGGTTATAAAAGGTGTCAGATGAGTGGCTAGTGCAAAGTGGTCTATGTTAAAGAGGAGATAGTAAAACTGCAATGAGAGGTTCATAATGAAATAACGAAAATGTGAAATGAAACAGGTGGAGGCATATTTTGAGAAAAGAGACAATATCACTAATAATAAGTCTGGATAGTATAAATGAAAAATTCGATAGTATTGAGGGAATGTTTGCATGAAGGGCATAAATTATGACGAATAATAGTAATAATAATATTTGTAGTAATAAGCAAAGGAAAAAAACCAAGAGGGCTAAGGGATTAAAAAGCTCGATCCTGTCAAACTTGGTCGATACTGGACATCATATCGATGTCAACACACCTTTCATGGTTATACACCGAATTCCGAAGTCGTTATCACGTACAGTTCGCTTACGTCTCCTACACAAAGCTGAAGCTGTTGCAATAAGATCAACTGAACCGGAACTTCGTATCCAAAAAGAACCCGTCCAGACGCTGTTCCTACCGTGGTCAAACCTGAATTGATGATTCTTCTTCTCACCAAGAAAGCTTCTTCCCCTTGACGCTCTTGGTTTTGTCTTTCTTTGCTTATTATTACAATTGTTGTCATTCATAATTTATGCCCTTCATGCAAACATTCCCTCAATACTATCGAATTTTTCATTTATACTATCCAGACTTATTATTAGTGATATTGTCTCTTTTCTCAAAATATGCCTCCACCTGTTTCATTTCACATTTTCGTTATTTCATTATGAACCTCTCATTGCAGTTTTACTATCTCCTCTTTAACATAGACCACTTTGCACTAGCCACTCATCTGACACCTTTTATAACCTTGAACTGACTTGTTAATTTTCCTACCCCACACTCTACAAATCTATTACAATATTTATTTGCAATATTTTGTAATCGATTTCAGCCTAGCACGTTTATCACACAAATACGACTATTTATTTTGACACCCCATTACTAATCTGTTATTCTACGTTAAAAATGTATCCGCCACATAACTGGTCTTTATTGTAACGACAACAAATATTATATTTTTAATTGTAAGACCCTGAAGAGAAATTACTGAAAAGGATATTCTTCGCTCAGATTGACTTTTAATTCATAATATGGGAATATTCCACACTATCAAATCCGGTGAAGTGTTCAAAACTTTGATGCGATGACTTTCCATCATTCGTTAATTTCATTAGTTAATGCTCACTATTGAAAATTAATTTAAAACCAGAATATTTTCTACGTGGCACAACCGAATAAAGCACACGTGTGAACAAACTCATGTGAATCCTGTATATCCGACAGCTGCAGCTAAAAAGTCCCCGAGCATTGTTGTGTATGATGTACAAGTCGGGTAGAATGTATAGAAATCTGGATGCTACCAGTGAGTAACCTAACGGAAAATATTTAACGAAGGGCAGTTAAACACTAGTCAGTTTTCCAGTTTTATTAGAAAGGTAAAATATAACCAATGACTATATGCCCAAGTGTCTCTCGACATTTGATTTTTTGCAATTAGTAGTGTTTTCTGAGCTGGTTGATTTTTTAAATGTAATATCCGTATAAAATCACGTTGTGTGATGTTTGCTATGTAAAATTGCACAGTAAGACTAGCACTGCAACAGCGACCAACTTAAACAAGACTTAACAATGAGACTTCCATAAATTATGTAGTGTGAAATTGCTCACCACTCATAACATAACTATCATTCCCATTTTTGCCCTTATACCGAAAAATGTGATCTCAAACTCCCCACCATCGTGGCTAAATTATGAAACCAGAAAACTTTTACGACAATAGTAAATACCTGATTAAGTGAGTGCGAAGTGGTAAACGTTCTGCCACTTTACTATACTCATTTGAATTCTGCCTTGATCCACTAATAGATATAGATATAATTTAATAATTCTCATTGTAGCATTAAGAACACAATATTCAGCGAAGAGACTCTTTTCAACGAATTTATTATCAAGCTGTACAATCGTATATATATGGTTATTTTTTACAAAAAAGATATAGATATTAATAAGAAAAAATACCTTGTTTGCATTTTTACGTAGTAGTGTCTGTATGTAAGGCTACACCAATCATACCTGAGTAAAAAGCAGCAATTATGGTGAAATGAATTCAAAAGTTAGAAAATCTGAATTTCATTACGGACATCAAAATTTAAGTTCAAACCCTACACTAAAGAGAAGACTAAATTTGTTAAACAAGTGTGCATCATAGTTACCTGACTTTGACTTACTCCAGGCACAATTTTTTTTCTTCTACATGTTCCAGAGTTTTTTCAGAGCTCTCTTTATCTTCTGACTCTCTGTTGGGCAGCAAATTTTTCAGATCACGGGGTTTAAGTTTCGTCATATCCAGAAGTACAGGGAATTCTCTGTTATTTGTGCCAATTTGGTACTTAATGATACATTAGGCAAGCTTTTTGGCTGCAGTCTTGAAGTCTTTCGAAGTTATCTAGGCGAATTCAGTTAAGTTCACTTTTGTTGACTAATGCTGACTAGAAGAGATCTAAAACTGCAAGATAATCTTAAATTAAACAATACATGTCAAAAGTTCGCTTATAATACGTAAATGTACGACTGTAATTGTAAGTTTCGTGTGCCTACTCTAAGGAACTAGTGCGACATATTAGTTTATAAACGGTTTACAGTGTCATCAGTTTGCATCTGCCCACAATGTATCAGGATATCCTCACATACATCTGACTTCTTTGTTCAACATGCAGAACTACAGGGTAACATTCAGTTTGGTGAAAATAGTCATGACTATTCGCTTAATATGAATCAGAATCGAAGGCTGTTCTCCTGACTTTATGTTTTGTTGTTTTCAGGTTTCATGCCATGCGGAAGTATGTTGCATTGTTAAAAGATCGAATACTTGCTTGGGAAGAAGTCAAGTTCATTCCTTTGATTTATCAATATATAAATATCAATAGCAGAAGCAGCCTCTCAGTGGAAATGAGACACTTTGGATTATGAGATTCTAAGCTTGAATTATTAAATCAGTCGAAAGTACCAAATGAAAATAATGCAGTGTTAGGTAGGACAAAACCAATAAGTTGAATGACAAATAAAACAACGATTGGCGGGCTGCTTAAATCTTGGGCTACCAAATACCTTAATCATTACAAATCATATTGCATCTAATTGCTCACTTCCAATTTTATTTTAAATAATTAAATTTTATTCTAATATGTCCTCTAATCGGATTATTTATCCTCGTGAGTATTTAATATCCTTAAAACCTACTGATCGGAAATGCCATAAAAAAGACAAAAAAAGCATCACGCCGGGTGGCAAAGAGCCTTAAAAAACACCCCTATTCAATTTATGACCGTTCCTGCAATCATGAGTACTAACTGTCGCTCCCTGCCAGCCAAGATTAACTATCTTCAATCACTTGTGTCTTCCATTATATATCGAAATACTGGGATCATATCACTTCAAGAAACATGGCTACATGATCTGTACGATGACAATCTAGTGTATCTAAATGATTTCAAACTATTCAGACAAGATCGATGCAGTTCTAGGAAGAAACGTGGTGGAGGTGTCGCCATCTTCATAAATTCACAATGGTGTACATCTAATAAAGTATGTTTCAAATTCTCTAGTGACAACATTGACTGCCTCACCGTCAAATGTCGACCTAAGCATTTGTCAAAATATAACTACATATATATCTCGAACATTTATATTGCACCTGGATGCAATTCCACTGAATTGTCTTTATTTGCTGATGAATTTACCTCCTTTGCTGTCACCTCCTTCGGAAACTCGTTGTCTATTGTTACTGGAGATTTCAATTCTAGTGATCACAATTTCCTTATTTCACTTGGTCATGATAACATTGTCAACTTCCCGACTCGAATGGATAATATTCTAGATCTTGTGTTCACAAATGACATAGGAATATTTGAAGCTCGGAAAAGAGCCCCACTACTTAACTCTGATCACTGCATCATAAGAGTATTGCCCAAGGTATATGGAAAGCTGCACAAAAGGGTCTTCTCCCACCTTGGAAAGAAAACACACCACAGATGCTATTCACATGATAACATACAGAATCTAAGGACAATGTTAAAAGACACAAACTGGGACCTGTTTACTGAACAAGCTCTTGACAACACAATTAGTAACATGACACATTATCTCAATTTCTGTCTTGATGTTTGTTGTCCTAAAGAGACATTCTTCTTAAAGTTCGACCGTTTCGCCTCATCTCAACTCAAAAAGCTTCGCCGTCAAAAAGAGAGGTTATACAAAATGAAAAATAAATCTGGTGTTAAGAGAATAAACACTTTGATTAAAGCCGAATTACAAAGATTAAATGCTCTCTATAACCAGAAGTTTCTTTCATGTAAATCCTCATCTAATATGTGGAAGCTATTAAAGGAAATCACAGGTGGTAAGCAAATAATGAATGATACTTCTGTCGATGTTGATATGCTTAATAAATCCTTCATATGTATCCCTGCAGATGTTATGATTCCCAAATCTAATAGTATAAATAATGACTGCTTTTCATGTTTTAACACGAATGATGTCCTCAAGTGTCTTCAATCTCTCAAACCTACCCAGTCCCTTGGTCCTGATGGAGTTCCTGCTGTTATCCTTAAGAAGTGTGCTGACATCTTATGTTACCTATTAACTGACATTTTCAATGAATCTTTTTCCAAAAGTATTATTCCTGACTCATGGAAAAATATCAAGGTTGTTCCAGTGCCCAAATCAACAAGTGGACCTACTGTCAAGTTTAGACCCATTGCTATTACCTCACCTTTTTTAAAAGTTATGGAAAGACTTATTTTACTTAATCTTGAACCCTCTTTAAAGCCTTTTAACGACCCCAACCAGTTTGCCTATAAACATAGTAGGTGTACCCTAGATGCCGCTGTAGTTCTATATCATAATATAGTCTCTAGTTTAGATAGAGGAGCCAAATATGTTCGGTGTGCCTTCCTTGATTACACATCTGCATTTGACTCTGTACCTAGGTCTCTCTTGTTAAGTAAGCTTGCTGCAACACAGAGTGAGAGCTGGATAAATAAGTGGTTGTATTCCTACTTTTCTGATAGGAAGCAGTACACTGTCTACAATGGAAAGTCCTCCTCTACCTCACTTACTTTAGCTGGTGTTCCTCAAGGTGCCGTTCTTTCTCCTTTTCTGTTTTCTTTTTTCTTACATGACTTGCCCCATTCTGATGTAGCCACTTTTGTCAAGTATGCTGATGACCTCCCTGTCTCCATGCCCGTCAACTCTCAGTCAGACTGTTCCATATTAAATAACTTTCTCTCGGAAATTAGTCAGTGGTCCTCTTCAAACGGTCTTAAGCTGAATCCGTCTAAATGTCAGGTAGTAAATTTTACTTTCAGACGAAAAAGTGACCTTCAACAACTAGCTAGCTCACATGGTCCCACTATCATTGACGGCATAGAGGTTGAAACTACATCAGATGTCAAGTACCTTGGACTGAGTATTTCCTCCGATCTTTCCTGGTCCTCTCACATCTTGCTAGTGACTAGAAAGATGTTTCGCTTAACGTTCTACCTTAGGAAGTTTAGGCAGTCTGGTATAAAGCAATCTTTACTTTCTCAGTTTGTCAATTCATGTATTCTACCCATCCCTCTTTACTGCTCCCCATTAATCTTTCCTGGACTACTTAAGAAAGACTTTGCTTCGCTGCATAGTGCACTAAAAGCTGTTAGTAGGGCAAGTGGGATTTCGTTAAACCAACTGGTTAACACAACTGTGGATAGACATATAATGTCATGTAAGAAACTAGCAAATTCTATATTGTCAGACCCCGAACACCCTCTCCATACGCAGCTCTCTCCTTGCATTTCATCTGGTAGAACTAGAAGCAACTATAGGAAGCTATATGCCAGGACTACCAAGTATAAAAACTCCACAATACCTTATCTGGCACAACTGTTATGTGATGAGAAAACTGTTAGGCATGACATGATCACTTTACTGCGGCACTCTAACAAATAGTTCCCATTAGCTTTTGTTCTCCTTTCTTTGTTACTATTATATTGTTGCTCATATATTTTATTACAGATTAATTTTATATATCGTATCCTGTGGTGCACTGTTTAAATATGTGAATGCAATGCTGTTCTTTTTTTATTTTATTTCTCTTTTTCTTTTTGTTGTTGTTGCTTTATATTTCTAAATCCTTATAAAATTTACGAGGTAATTAGATGCAATATTGTAATGAACGCTGAAAATTCCATACCTGTACCACAAATACTGTTTGGAATAAAGCCATTATTATTATTATTAATTACTATTTCTACTTTTGTGGTTGACGGGCTCACCAGTTTAGGGGGCTGTAGGTATCGACGTTCGCGAGTTGTACGGATTATACTAACGCAAGATCTTATACCAACAACTTCTATAGTGTTCGTTCTTCGAGTACTAAATGGTAAAGCAAAAGACCAGATTTTGTCGTCCAAAGTACGTATTATATTTCGGGACAAAATCGCGGGTAGAGGTGAATGCTTAGCTAGCTAGTAATCGTGCACGCGCGTGACACGACGGAGCACCAAATGGCGGGGATGCTTGACCGTAAGCCTTCAGCTAAACAAGTCGACTTAAACAGTGATGGTCAGCATCCAATGTTGAGTGATGATTGCTGTGGTTAATAATTTTGGGGAATTATTTACCGCTACACTACGAAAGATAGTGACATTATAGGCAGCCATCAATTTAATAATCAATTTAGTAAGTGAGTAAGTAATACAGAGTAAATGGATTAGAAATCAGTTGCACAATTTCGTCTAATTTTACTCACGTTGACAGCAGAGGTGTTAATAGAACCTATGACAGAAGTTATAAGTTTCCAGATCGCAGGTGTGACGAACTTCCTGGAATAATTTGAACGCCAAGTCAGATTGATTCATTATAAATTATTTAAACTAATCCCAGCGGGTTTAATAAAAAAATCAAAACATTGTGCAAGCCTCCAAATATTAGGTTATCAGGAGTTCAAACAGCAAGATCATAATAGTTGGACCCAAATGGCTTGCAATTGACAAAAATGTGAATTTGAACCAAAATGCACAAGATTCCAATAAAACACAAACGGTCTAATAAACACAAAACATAAAGTGGTACATAAAGTACAACTCTATAATAATAATAATAGTAATAATAATAATAGTGTTCACAGGTGAGATAAGAGAGGTAAAACTCTCCGCTAAAGTAATATTGGTTTCTTTTCCAAACAATCATTGAAATAATATTTATGGTAGTAACAATTCATACGCGTAAATGATTATGCAACACTCCCACGCTCTTAGCTCCAAAGAAATAGAAATTCAATAAGGAATCACGTGCACTTTCCATCTCTACACAAGAAATCTCTTAACAGCGTACACGCTAACATGCCTTACTAGCACACGCTGCCTTTGATTGACCAAACTTTCACCAGTACACCTGGCAACCTACTAATCGGGCTGCTTGTTTTAGGCATCTAGGGCCTATACCAGTATACCTAGATACCGCTCCAACCAGCCCTATTATCGCTAGCTTCCAAGAAACACACCTTCCCGATTTCCCTAACCAATACTCCCTTAGCCATCTTCACCTCCACCTATCTAACCAAGCCGTCTTTACCGGGCAGCACCCTTTGCACAAGGCCGAGTGGGCCTGCTAGGAAAGTCTGACACAACGATAACTAAGTATCCGGCCTGCATATTCCTACCAGTGTTCGTCCATTTGTGTCGTTGTTGTAATTAAGAGGCATATTCGTTTGGCCAACGTTGCCAAAATAGTTGGCTTGTCTTCACCTTCTGGAGGACTTATCACTAAGGTGAACTGTACCGATACTTAACAAGTTGTCCCCTAGTAATAGTGGCTTTGCATATGTCAACGGCTCGAAGTCATTAACGTCCGAGTTAACTGAAACCAGAAGTCTGTTATTTATCGTGCGTTCAGCCTCTACAAGTAATATGGACTTCATCCACCAACAGTTGTTCATTCATAAGTTCACCTAAAACTCTACTTATAGCACGAATCATGCGCTCCAAACCCCAATGCCTTGAAACCGGGGAGTTGAAGTACTAATCTATACCCCCATCAAGTAAGGCGCTATATATTCTCTCCTGCTTCCAATTTCTTAGCCACCTATATGATTCTGCTTTCGCCTCTGCCAAATTGGTCCCATTGTCACTAGGCATTTCCGCATACAACTTCTGACGACTTTCTTCACTGCTACAACTCATCGTAATATACGCGACATTTCTCTAACAGTAACCAGTACCTTTGTAGCACCTAAATGCCCTTCAACAAACTGGGCCAATCTGAGAAGTGATATAGAACGCGATCCAAGCCAGAGTCATTAAAAGTTACACTTACTACCGCTTTAGTCTTTATTTCTACTCAACTGCCTTTTGATCCCATGGTTATGTCTCATATCGACCATTCAGCCTGTGGATGACCTAAGAATGACGGACCATCGCGCCACATCTCAAGATGCTCATCCTTGAATAGGAACATTCTCCTCTGAGGGCACTTATTCCCACTGTGAAACCTTTGAGAGGTAGTGAATTGTTGGGACTGGGTTAGCGGAGAATGTCTTAAATCGGCTATTTGTGCTATTAATGTACTGCAAGACGATTTTCCACTCAGTCTGATGAGCCACCCGTAAAACACAAACACCCATCTTTGAACACAGTGAAAGCCCATTCTATCCACCAAAGAGGCTGCAGTCAGTTTCAGCCATGACCCTGAAGACGACAACAAGCATTTCTCTGTACTCCAGAATGTCTAACATAAGTTTACGCTCCCCTGCCACTTTCAAAGGCATTGCAAAATATATGTAACTCCTTAGTTGGCTAATTCACGTGCAACGGTAAATGATACTTCCGCAACCACTTCGAAACTATGCAGAAATCTGTAGCGGTAAATAATTCCCCAAAATTATTAACCACAGCAATCATCACTCAACATTGGATGCTGACCATCACTGTTTAAGTCGACTTGTTTAGCTGAAGGCTTACGGTCAAGCATCCCCGCCATTTGGTGCTCCGTCGTGTCACGCGCGTGCACGATTACTAGCTAGCTAAGCATTCACCTCTACCCGCGATTTTGTCCCGAAATATAATACGTACTTTGGACGACAAAATCTGGTCTTTTGCTTTACCATTTAGTACTCGAAGAACGAACACTATAGAAGTTGTTGGTATAAGATCTTGCGTTAGTATAATCCGTAAAACTCGCGAACGTCGATACCCGCAGTCTCAAAACTGGTGAGCCCGTCAACCTCTAAACTGGTGAGCCCAACCACGAACTACATCTTCAATTCACACGCAAATAAACCCAGTGAGTTCGTTACTTTTTGTGTTTATTCTTATACTATATTGTTATCGGCATACTTTTCGTTATGAGTGATCCTAGCCCCAAGGTTATTCAGATTCGCTCAACCGCCAAAACAATCCAGCTAGTACCATATTGGCCAGATAATGCTGAAACGTGGTTTCAGATTGCTGAGTCCGACTTTTGTGAACACGGCATAACCGATCAACGTTCACAGTTCCTTGCAGTTATTCACGCCCTACCGCGGGAATTCAGCAGGTGCGTAACTCTGCAGATGTCGGTAAGTAACTCGTACGAGTTGCTCAAATCATCCCTCCTCAAGAGAAACGTTCTCACGGATCGACAACGTCTGGATGAGTTATTTCATAACATCGAGTTAGGAGATCAGTCAGCCGTGAGCATGCTGGCAAGAATGAAAGAGATCATTGGCCAAAGTCAGTTCGATGAAGGACTGTTTAGAGAACTATTTTTATCCAAAATGCCACAGTCAGTTCAGACTGTACTTGTGACACTTCAAAGTGTTCTCATAGATGATTTAGCTGTCTCTGCAGATAGAATTCTAGAGATAACGAAACGGCCAGTTACCGAAGTATACTCTGTTACCGAACAGACTTCGAAGAAGGATTCTGCAATGATAGAGTTAATCAACTCCGTCCAGCAGATGCTTAGGTCAAACAAGCCTAGCAATTCCTCCTACCGTCGTTCCAAATCCCCTCAACGGCAAAACGCACGTGGACGATCTAAGTCCAACACACGTTCTCTCAAAAATCCTGACTGGTGTTGGTATCACAACACCTATGGCAAGGAAGCGAAATGTTGTCGAAAACCTTGTGATTTCGGCAAAGCCTCCAAGTCTGTGGGAAACTATCCCGCCGGCACGCGTTAGCGGCAACCGTCGCCGGTGGCACTAGCCGCTTACTTTACATCCATGATGTAATTAGCCAGACTAGATATCTAGTCGACACAGGCGCCTAAGTCAGCGTCCTTCCTGCTACAGCAGCCGATCGACAGAAGGATCCTAACTTCAACCTACAGGCTGCAAATGGAAGACCAATTGCAACCTATGGTCGGAAATACGTCTATCTGAACGTAGGTTTACGCAAACCTATTCGGTGGATTTTCCTAATCGCTGACGTCACAATGCCCATCATTGGCACGGATCTACTTAATCATCATGGTTTGCTCGTAGACGTCCGCCGTAAACGATTAATTGACAACACTACTAGTTTGTCTATCAAAGGCATAACTTACGTAGGCCCCAGCTTGTCAATCGTTAAGATGAAAGCAATCCTCGATCCAACTTTTCAACCGATTGTTGACAAATATCCGGAACTGTATTGCCCATCTAACGATCTCCCGTGTATAACCAGCAATGTTATGAACCACATCATAACCTCAGGACAGCCCGTGACATCTAAAGCACGACGACTGGCCCCTGACAAACTGAGAATTGCCAGAAACGAATTCGATCATATGCTCACCCTTGGCATCATTCGGCCATCGAATAGTCCATGGGCATCCCCGTTGCATATGGTACCGGAAAAGGATAGTAACGATTGGCGACCCACTGGTGATTACCGGCGAGTGAACGCCAAAACAACTCCTGATTGCTACCCTTTGCCTCACATACACGACTTGACGGCAACGTTATCTGGAGCATCTATATTCTCCAAAATCGACTTGGTTAAAGCATATAACCAAATCCCGATGGCAACGGAAGGTATTCCGAAAACGGCTATCATCACGCCTTTCTGACTTTTCGAATTCCTACATATGCCATTTGGCCTCCGGAATGCGGCCCAAACATTCCAACGCTTCATCGATGAAGTATTTCGCGGTCTCGACTTTGTATACGCATACTTAGACGACTGCCTCATTGCCAGTCCAGATAAGGAAACTCACCTTAGACATTTGGACTTGGCATTTGAAAGGTTACGCCAACATGGTGTTACCATCAATATACAGAAGTGTCAAATAGGCGTTGACTCACTCGATTTTCTGGGTCACAC